GCGGCCCCTGTGGACAAAAGCGGTTGTGTTTACACTGCCAATCTAACCGAATCTGACATGGCAATTAAGAACAACAATATAGAAAGGAATAGGCTTGAATTAAGAATGTTGTATAACCAATTAAAAACTCCTTTAACTACATTTAAGTAGATTTTCTGAATACTTATTCCACCACTGCCAACTTCTTATATAAATTATCATTTGATACCAATCAAGAATGGATATAAAATGCATATTTGAAACACCTAAGAGGACACCCTACTTTCCCTATAAAAATTTGACAGAGGTACCAACAACAATCGAACAAATTGTTCAGAGAAAATGTAGTGCACAGCAAAGCAAGAACCATCTACTGTATCACTAAAGATGACACTGTAATCCAAAGGTCAAATTATCACTTGATCATAAATTATTCAAAATGTTCTTGAAACACAACATATACTTTATTTATCTTCTCAGGAACAGTAGACGGAAGTATCTAAAACCTGTATAAGCTGATACTGCATGTAGTTACATACCTAATGTCATAATGTCCCTCAACCAGTGAGGGGCAGGTAGAGGATGGAGTGAGCGTGCTCAGTCCGGACGAGGAGGAGTCTCTCATTAGCGACGCAGACATCTCAGAAAGCTAAAACACACACAATCACACACACACAAACACATTCACAACAAACCATGCATGGAGAAGCACACACACACAAGACAAGAGGGACAAATACAAATACAGACAAAACAAACCGGCAAACAATTAAGCACATACAACACAGACATGCATTCAGAAAACAATTCAATCAGACAATTTGTCATTTTCTAGCAATGTACTGCAGAACCATCTCTGTACCACTGTAATACAAGTCCTCTTTATCTAAGAGCCCCTCACTGATTAACATGTTAAAGAGGACATGCAGGAGTAACATCGGGTTAGTGGAAGCCTCGCAGAGTCTAAAGAGGAGGGACAGTGAGGGATGAGGCTGGGTAAAGGAGGAGGGGAAACTTAATTATTTTAAAAGGTATCACATACGGACACATACAGTAGACATGAGTCAATATTATCTCTCATCCAGCTGGTTCAAACAAAGTCTAAGAATTGTTTGTAATATCTAACTCAGGTCTACTGAGTGGTTATAAAGACATAAAACGAGATAAAGGAGAAAGAAATCTTAAAAAGAAGAATCTGAGCTGGGAAAATTATAATAAAAAGAATAATGGATGAATGCAATGGCAGAGAGTGGCTGAAGTGCGGGGCTTAAATATTTAGAGGTTAAGGTTCAGAAGGATTAACGGGCCGGGTTAGAGGGCCTAGGCTGGGGCTCACCTTGCTCTCACTGGCACTGCTGCTCACCTGGCTGTACTCCCTGTTGAAGGTGTGCATCAGCAGACGCAGACACTAGAAAGAAGAAAGTGAAAGAGTTTTTTAAAAAAACAATAAAAAAAATAAGCTGAGACGAGTATTCTTGAGGCCTTTAGAGACCAGCAGTCACCTTGGCAGCCAGCTCTCTCTGCCTCTGGTTGGGGCTGTCGGGTGCAGGGCTGCTGCCTGGACTGTGGCTGAGGACAGGACTCTTTGCAAAATCGCTGATGTCGCTGCTCTTGTAGAGCGCATCCTGTCCTGCCTGCAAAGTCGCCTCCAGCTTCTCCCTCAGCAACAGGTAGTGCCTGGTCTTCTCCACCTGAGAACACCAGCAGCATTTCAATAGGTTGAGCCACAAACACTCTCCTTTGTTGAGATATCAACATAAATTCTTAGCGGCTTTTTGTCCTTGTTCAAGCAAATGTTGTTTCTGTATATGCACCTATTACAATAAAAGACACTTCCCTAACTTATTTTCCAGTTGCCATCTCTCTTAAAAACTTTAGGCTACACACTGACCTCCTGCAGCAAACTGAGTTTCTCCAGCTCCCACTGGTGGTCCAGGATGAGGCTGTCACTGCGAGGCCTCCACCCAGCCAGGTTCTCCTCTCCTCGGACGTACGCCACCGAGGTGTCTAGCACACGCCTGCGACGTCGCTGCATGCCTGAAGAAGAAGAAGAATAAAAGGTTCTGTGAATATTGTAAATGAAAAATACAAACAAAAGTAGAAATGCTTTATTTCTTTCTGTTTTTTCTCACCTGGACTACCATTGTCTGCTACATGGCAGAGGGTGACCTCATAGACTCCAGTGACACGGTTACTTAGAAGGAGAGAGGCAAAATTTCAGAATTAAATATAAAAGAAAAAGTGATTAATTAAACTACAACTACATTTCTTAGATAGAGACGTTGTGTAATCAGACTGTATGGATCCATAAATCTGTACCTCTCAGAGGGCCGGAGGCAGCCGGTGCTGAAGAGGTTTCTGATGGAGCGAGAGGCCGGCAGCTTCGCGTCACGGGAATAAAACACCATGCAGAAATCTTTGGTAATCACTGTTGGCTGAGTGCAGTTCTCCATCTAGTTAAAATATATCAGACAGTAACAAATCAGTGTTTTGTTCTAATGTGGCAGAACTGTTATGTAAAATGAATGTCACTCGCATCACATGTCATCTCCAGTACCTCTAGATAAGCAGAGAGGGTGATGTAGATCTTCTCCCCATAGGGAGTGACTCTGTTCAGAAGCAGAGAGTTGTGCATGGAGCTGTCCCATGCTGCCTCAAATCGGTAGAAAGTTCTGCAGCGCAACAAACAAACATGTTATCATTTTATCTGCACGATTTTTAAAGAAGAAAAGTGAATCAACCTGATGAAAAGCCTGAGAGCCAATGGACATTTTGTTATCAGAAGCAATTATTGAAAAGATAAAAAATGATTGTCAATTTATACCTATGATCAACTCCCAAGGAGACGCTGCCATTAACAAAGGATAAAGAGAAACAGGACACGAGTTAGAAACTTTTAACTGCAGCTGTTAAAAGTTTGAACCCAGCAAATAATACTGATCCATGCAAACTGAAAAATGCATTGAAGCAAAATCATAGTTGACTATAAAAGGTAGGCTTAAGCAATGTCGAGCAGCCGATCTGCCCATATGATACAGGTTTGTTAACGAATTAAAACTGTTGTTTAATATCATTTAGTAAATTAAAAATCTATCTAAGGTCATACTTGTCGTTGTGTTTCGGCCAGAAGTATCCAGAAGACAGGATGTTGAGGGAAAGGATGTTAGGGTCTATGATGGTCTCATCTGCCTCCGGTGTGTTTCGGATACGACCTGAAGGCAAACGTGTCACGATGAGAGAAAAAACTGTACTTTTAAAGATTTCTTTCCTCTAAAATTGAACCAACTTGGCCTCATCACTCACCAATAACCAGCTCCTTCACCTCTTTCCACTCAATATCATTTCCTGTTTCATGAGCGATGGTGACTGTGATCCTCCTCTGAATGCCCTGTAGAGTCGAGAGAGAAGATGGGAGGTAAACCAGCTTGTTACGAGTTCCAGTGGTGCTGTTGCAACAAGTTTAGACATCTGGAATGTAACTGATATATGCAGTATATAGTGCTAAATATGTAACTGTGACAACATGACTGTAATTGAATGTAACATGCTCAGACCTGATGTAAGAGGAACGTGCCGTGGCAGGGCATCCCTCCTCTGTGGTCAACAACGGCTGGGATGTAGCTACAAACAGGGAAACAATCAACACATTAAAAGGTTAATACTCAAATGTTCAACTGACATGACCTTTGCATTCACTGCTGACACAGAAAGATGTGTTCATATGATCTACTGCAGCGGTTCCATTCCTATCATTGAGTCAACTGATGAGCCCTGACTACTTTATGGATATTTCGGTGAGCAGATTATTTCCTGTATATTGCATCAGATGTGCGTTTTTCCTGATATTTTTACGAACTTTTAATACACTTCTTTGCCTGTGTTATGCTATTAGTTGTTGTTTTTTAACGAATAAACATATGTAATAGGCAAATTCAGTGTTTTTTCTCCCAATTGGCCATTGTTCTATTAGCCTTTTGTTTGTTTTGTACTTTTCTAATGCAGGACAAGGCTGTTCAGCAGAGAGTGAAGGCTCTGTGAAAAGGGGGTTTAAATCAGAAATTAATAATCTAAACTAGAATAATAACAATTTCATTTAGTTTTCCTCACAGTAATGAATGAAATGCTGACATATCGGCCTACTGTGTATATTTTAAAATCAAGCTTTGGCGACCCCTAGGTTGGGAGCCACTGATCTACTGTGTGCCTTGCTTTGTGGCATTAAAGTGGAAACACAGACTCACTCTCCGTTAGCTTCCAGCTCACAGATCTCAAAGAAGACCATAAGGTCGTATTTGGCGTGACAAGGTCCTGCGGTGGAGCGAGTCAGAGTGCTGAGCTTTGTGGCTGGCACTGGAGGAACGAAGAGAGAATAGATCAATGACAGAGTAAACAATACTGTACTAAAGTGAACTGAACTGACGACTAATTATACTACATATTCATAATTAACAACATTAAATGTCACAGCCAACCTGGTTTGGATAAGGGCATCACCCTGGGGAACTGCCTCCTGGAAGGTCTCAGTGGACTAAAAGACAAAGAAAACAAACGTGAGGAAACTTTCCTTCTATCTAAAAAATATTAACTCATTGAATTTAAAGGTCAGATTTCTCCCTGACCTGATCAGGTCTTTGCAGAGGGGAGGGAAGGGCTGTTTCTGATAGTGACCAAACACCTCGAAGACGATGGGCTGAGTCTTGATGTACTCCACGAAGGACTTTGTCACCTCGACTGTGATCTAACAGAGGAGAAAGGCAATTCAAATACAAAAGTAATAGATAATCTAAGAACATATTTTAAATCAGGTTTAATAATTTGTCAATAACAGGTCTGAATTGGCTGTTTGGAGTTTACATTTTGAACATGGTAGAAGCCCAGCGGAGGTCCTCTGCCCGTGTTTTTCAGCGGCTCAGTGGAGAAAGCTTCGTCATGGCGGTGGATGAAGCTGAAAAAAGTGAAGCCGTTATATAGACTGAACTCCCAAACATTTAAAATCAGTTAACATTTTAATACTTATTATTATAAATTAGAAAAATGTTGTCAACCAATTGATTTTACTTTCGTGTAGCAGCTTTAACTGCAAACTGGTGATTCAATTCAATTTTGCTTATTAAGATCATATTTTAGTGCTAAAACAATTAGATATGAGCTTTACCAACAACATATGTAAATTAAGAGGTGTACATGTGCATGCATTGATATACTATTGTTATTCAAAAGTACAAAACTCCAGTTGCAATAATACTTTGACAGATATCAAAATAATGTATTTATTATGGTAAGGTTAAATTAGCATTCATTAGACGGTTCACAGAAGAAAGGTTGCTAACAAAGACAAGGTAGAAACCGGAAGCATTTACTGAGAATTGTATGTCATATAAAGTACATTAATATTAGACTGACAATGTTATTTACAGGACTTTGGTGCTTGAACTTACTTGAATTGGCAGAAGATGTCGGCGTACTCGGCCGAGATGCTGGAAGCCTGTAGGACGGTGACTCTGAAGGTGAAGGTGCTGCCGATCTTCAGGTGGGACAGAGCTTTCTCTGGGGAGAGGTCCAGAGGAAGATCCAGACCCAGACCTGAACTCTTCACTGGGCTTGGCGGAGCCTCCTGGGTGGCTACTTATAACAGGAAAGGAAACACAGAAACACACATGTATCTGGTGTTTTAGATAATTTTCCTATTAATTTAATGATGATGATAAATATGTCACTATGTTCCAGTAAAGGTCCGGCATTCCCATTTCTTATTTAAATTCTGGCTGCTGGAGAGGATTTTTCACTGTGATCTGCACACTACCTGGACAGGTGTTGTTGTTGACTTCATCAGCAGAGATTCCTATATCGGCATTCTGTCCTTCTCCCTCCACAATTCGCAGCTCCTCCTGGGAGGTGTTGGAGTGGGAAAGACCACCAGGACACGACTCAGTCTGGAACTGGAGACAGTAAAACAATCAGCTTAAACCCCATTTAAGATAAGATAAACCTTAACCCTAACACTCTTTTTTTCAATCTCAGCACTTATTTATCATGACTAACATTATATCTGGCTTTTATTGGTTGTAGGGGACACCAGTATAAATCTCCTGCTAAGTACCTTCTCAAATTGTTTGTCTTCAAAGGAGATCTTGGCAGTGCCTGACTGCCTCACACCAGAGCCATAATCAGGGGCCTCTTCATCAGCTAAAGTGAGACAGAACGAGAGGACAAGATGTTAAAAAAGTGTCACTCTCATTTCTTAAAACAAAAGAACTCAAAAGAACAGCGACAATGGCACAAGACTAATATTTTGTACCTGAGATGGCCTGCACAGCCACTCTGAGGAAGCCTTTCACCTCTCCTTTCTCACTGACGATGGCCACACGATGTACCAGGGGCACTGGGTACAGCAGGTTACTCAGGTACACAAAAGCCCTGAGGAGAAGGAGGAAGTGATTTTAGAATCTATTGTGCGATAAAAGAGCAGGATTTAAATCACTACTGCCTCAAAGGAGACGGATCGGTTGCTGTTTAGTTGCTAACGGACCTGCCGACCAGACGGAACCAGGGGAAGCGGTCGTAGAAGGGGTCGCCTCCGGTCAGAGCGTGGTCACAGTCCTCCACAGCACTGCTGGGGAGCTCTGCAGCACGGTCGTACATTTCTCTCATCAGGTCCAGCCTTTGCCTGCAGGGGGAAGTATAACAGAAACTGACTTAGGGCCTGCCTATCAGTAGTTTATGTGCTGGATCACAACGGTATGTAAAGACAGCCTAAATAAAAGACAATAAAAACACATATTAAAGTAGATTAGAGGCACTACGTATATGTGTGTGTGTGTGTGTGTGTTGTGAGGGGGTCTCCAAAATTTCCAATTTTTATAACAAATCTGCTGTACCTGAGTTTCTCCAGAGTCCAGTAATGTGTGGCTCCGTTCTTTTGATCTTGGACTTCAACAGCTACGATAGTTCGGGGGAAAGGTCGTCTCTCCCTCTCTTTGGCCACACAGGGGGGCAGCAGGTCGGGGGGCAGGGGGGAGTAGAGAGTGTCTGTCAACAGGACGAACTGGAACTGCACCTGTGGGTTGATATAAGACATAAAACATTAGAGACTGCTTGTTTATATCATTGCATCATATCTGCAGTGGATGATAGAGAGAAGAAAGAAGGTCTGATATGGTCACATTTGTCTTTAAACAGATTAATCAGTAACTTATTTACAAGTAAAGCAGATTAAGGTCAGGCACTAATATTATATTTAATATTAATATTAAATACAGTATTAATAACCTACAGTTGCACAAAATCTGAAGTATTTCTTTGCTTCAATATTTGGCATAAAAGTAAGAATTCTTCTTCTTCTTCTTTTTGTAATACAACATGCAGCTCGGAGGGCTGGCTGAAATCAAAAACAGGATGAGACATGACGCAGTAAAGTTTCATTTTGGCCTAAATAAAGTCAAAATTATGCTTCGTCATATCACCTTTGGCTGGACTTCACTAGAATACAATTAATGTTTTTTGAGAGACCCACACTGACACACTGAAATGTAATTAAATTCACTTTGCTCAATGGCCACTGACAGACACTTTCCAATCTGCACTCTGTCTCCTGTCTAGACTGAAGAGCAAACTCTTCATGCACCAGCATCACATTAAAATAATGTTAAATTTGCACTCTGACTTTAGAATATGATTATTTTCAAGTGCAATAAGGATATTATGATTTTAGAGAGGGATTCACCAAGACAACAACAAAAGGCATATAGGAAAACTTTTACAGTAAAAACTGTCGTTGTTATTTAGAGAAATCTAATTTATGCTTACCTAAACTAAATAAATGTATAAAACGCTGACATAAAACACATCATATATCACAGTTCTGACTAAGGTCGGTGTGTTACAGTAACAAACACCTTTTTCTTCAGCTCCACACTGATGGCATTGGCCTCTTTGAGGAAGATAGCGTTGCCCCACAGCAGATCCCTGAGAGAGGTGAACTGGTAGAAACGCCACTTTCTGAACGCCCACAGAGCCAACTCTGTCTCACGCGCCGTCCACGGCACTGGAGGACATGACACATGATACTTGAGTACATTTTGACCAAATAAAAGCCCAGATTCAGTGATTACTTTTTGATAAGTCTGTAACAGTTGAAAGTGACAGTACCACCTTCCTCTTCAGGCTCCTCTTCCTCTTCGGGAGACTCCAAGTACCGAGAGTCTACTTGTTTCTGAAGAGCTTCCAGTTTGCTCTCATAGTCCTGAAAGAAAACATGAGATCCAAAATCAAAATGAGGGTGTTTGACCTTAAATGTTAAATTACTGTATCAAACAGAGCTTGCACTCACCAGCCTCTGCTGTTCTAGCAGGTTACTGGCTTCTTCTCTTTCTTTGCGGTACTGATCTTCGAGCTCCTGAAGCCTGAAAGGGACTCAAATGTTAACGAAGTTATATAATTAAACCTGAGTAAATGATAATGTAGTGATCACATTCTTCATCATTAACTTAATGTCTTCTCCACACACCTCTGCTCCATCTCCTGCTTCATGTCGATGCCTTGTTTCTCCAGTAGCTCTCTCTGAGCGAAGGCCCAGTCGACGGGTTCGACCGGCGTCTCGGCGCACGGCGTCCTCTCTCGCTCCAGACGAGCCTGCTCCGGGTCGTTGAAGCGAAACACATGGCTCTTTCCCATGATGATACGGTTCCCTTAAAAGTGCAGATGAATTTATTTATTACAGATTAGACCTTTGTTATTATATGTTCATGTTTTATTTAATGATTGTTTGTCTCTTCCTCCTGATATATTTCTCTGTTTACTCCCTAGGTACAGTTGCTGTTTCATTTTTTAATCTGAAGCTTCACACGTACCAGACCGCAGAACAGTTGGAGAGGTCACTCTCTTCCCGTTGACATACGTCTCTGAGCCCTCACATGGCTCCAGGATGACACATCCTGTTCAAGAAGATTATATAACTATTACAACAAAGCATTCAGCACATAAACAAAAGACTGCCTTTTTCTATTTTCAACATGCAATTACATGCCACAACATTGATTTAACGCTGTAATTTTTATGCCACAGAGAGAGCAACCCTTACCTTCTCCCTGAGGGCCTGTGGTGCTGCTGAAGGTGCAGTGTTCATCTTTGATAAAATGGCCGCTGAGAACAATGTCTTGGCGAGTCTTGGCATTTTCACGGCCAACCCTGAGGGAAGATAAGATAATCCATTTGAGACAAATTCCTAGAAACAGCAGAGTCTCTGGATTAAATCTTAAATATATATATATAAAAAAACCTTACTTGGTGGTGCCATCTTTGATGTAGTACAGCAGACACTCTGACATCAGTGGGTCTTCGTTCAGGTTCACCAGATGAGGGGTCTGAAATATAATTTGGTGTTTGTGTGAGCTTAGACAGTAAATATATCAATTTATTATGCCACACTGACAAGCATCTTACCTTTTTCGGGGAGAAGACGCCCACAGTGCCTCCATCTTCTCTCATGGCGACACCCATCTCAGCCAGCAGGGCCTCTCTACGGGAAGCAACCACACAGTTAGCGTCAGCTCGCTTATATCACCTCTACCATTAGTTAACCTTTTAACTCCCACTGTTCATCCCACAAGATATGAGGACTATGTAAATCATTCTTGGACTGCTACTTCTTTTGAAACATGAATTTAAAAATGCAATGTATGTGTATTTAGACTGTGGTCATGTACAGGGAATTATTGAAGAAGGGCTTTGAGCTAAATGCTAACGTCAGCATGTTAACAAACGATGAGAATGCTAATATGCTGATGTTTAGCATTTGTTAATTAGTACAACAGAAAGTACAGCTAAGGCTGATGGGAATATGATTTGTTTTGCAGGTAGGCTATTTGGTCATGAACCAAAATACAGGACAAAGTCAAAAGATCACCAAAGTATTTAAGATTCATCCTCTAGGGGCTGTGAATGTTTGTACATTTCATGGAATCTATCCAATAGTTGTTGAGATATTTCATTCTGGACCAAAGATAGGTGCACCAACATTTTCATCCCTAGAGCTAAAAATATGATGTATTCCTACTTTCAAAATTGTCTAACAATCCAACATCACATATGCATTAAAACTTAATGTCCATATTCTTCTCAGGTGGACTAACCCTAAGGGTAAGTGGGTGTTAAAAAGTTAAACCTACTGTAAATTTCTTATTTATATAGGAGGATAATCTGATTGAATGCTACAAAACCATAAATCATGCATGAATATGTTTGACGCACCTATCCATACGGATGGCCTCAGTACGTCGCAGCTTCTCCTCCCATGTCTCATTGAGCTCTGCGATGATTTTCTCAGTTTCCTGTTGGCAGAAAGACAGATATGTAAAGTTACACCCACTGAAACTGGAAGGATTTATCAAGAGCCTTTACACCACATTTATTAGATTTTCTTATTCCCCCTCACCTTTTTTCACATATCTAACCCCCCCATTTCCAAACTCTACACCCAAGACAGTTTGACTATCATGCTCCATACCTTGAGCCTCTCGATGGCCTCCTCACTGGCCGGGCTGAAGATGCGGTCGTGGAGGTTGCTGATGGACCCGGCACGACTGGACAGGGCCGAGAGCGAGGGGGAGGGACTCATTCCTGTCATGGCATTGGACACTGTGGAGAGATCACCCCTTTGATTGACAGCCTGGCGATTATTCACAAAGTTCTTGTAATCGCACAGGTCTGCCAGAGAGAGAGGCGTTGCATGGAAGTGAGCAAGGAAGGCAGGAACGAAGGAAGGAAGGAAAGAAGGAAGGAAGGACGGAAGGTAGGAGCAGACGCCGGGTAATTCAGGAGAGACATCGGGGATTGAGAGGAACACGCGGAGAAACAGATGAAAAAGGAAAAAAAATGGGGGAACAACGGGGAGGAGTACAAAAAAAAGAAGAGAAAGCTCAAATAATGGATCAAAGAAGCAGAGGTCCTTTGCTTACCAAAGCCATCGCAGACAGAGAGAAAAGGCAACTCAAACTGATAGAGCACAAAATGCCAAATTTGTCGTTTACACTGAACTACACATGGACACACTCGACAAGCTCGCAAGCATGAGAATGTTATGAGAAAGAAAATATAAAAATATATACATCACTATAATGCATAAAGATCTAATACAGCCTCTGTTTTTTTTCTGTTTTTTCATGTGTTGCATGTCCTAATGTCTTTGAAGTGTTCAGCACAGCCTTTGGTAGCGATGCAGGCCTCTAAGCACCTGACTCATAGCTTCAATTAGCTCCACACACAGAGAATCAGGATGCAAAGAAAATAGTTCCCCAGCAATCTAAAATGGCGTCCTCCCGGTCAGTCCTTTCTTCCTTGACCACTGATCTTGTAAAAACAGCACGCTTTGACTCTGTCTGCTTCAGATTCTTAATGAATCCTTTTCGATGAAAAAGAAAATCCTACCCAATTCATAATTGTGTTATGAGGATGAAAGTATTAAGAGGCTGGACTATGCAGATTAAACAAGCACATATTACCATGGAAACCAGAACTAATGGAGGAGGCCATTTTGCTGAATTCCTGAGAGTAACTTAATACAGCAACAACCTTATAGATTATTTTGTTGCTCTAATGCATCATGTAGGGTTTAAATATATTTTCCTTTATTAATGTCCGACTCCACAAATTGGGATTGATAGTTTCTCTGGTGTGGTGAGGAGGAAGGCCGGGATTTATTTCTATTAGTTGCAAAGCGCAGGCTTGCTCGAGTTATACACACATTTCAAACCAGTGATGACGGGGCCGGTGCAGCGATACGCTGATAGAACAGAGGAGAGAAGAGAATGAGTGTGAGAGACACCCACACTCCAAGTTAAAATGTCATCCTCTGTTAAATAAACTGCACACAAGGTTTGAATTCAGGTTTGTGTGTGTGTGTGTGCCTATGTATGTGCGAGAGTTGTGTTTCCCTGTGCGACACTCACTCTCTATGATGTCTCCCAGGCCTTGTGCGTACAGCAGGTCTCTGAGGCGAGCCACCTCATCTTTCAGCTCACGCACCAGACGGTTGTTGGGATCCTCGTTAATCACAGCGTTACAGCGGATCTGTTTTGCACGATCAGCATATCTGAAGAAATAAAGGTCATCGAGGTTAGGAAGCCGTTGCACTACGCAGAATGATTCCTCAGGCTGAATTACAATAACCAACTAAAGACAATATGGGCAAACTGAACATTAGCTCAGCAAAACTCACTAGAGAAATGATCATGCATGCATTTGTTAAGACACAAACACTGTAAACCACAAACAATGTGACACTACTGAGCCAAATGAAATTCATTTTCCTCATATAATATGCAAAAGTATGGAGCAAAATGCTCCAAAATCTAATCTACGGGTTGAACCTGTGGTGTAAGTGTGACATTATCTTTAAAAAGCTATTCCCTGTGAAAAAAACCTGATTTAATGATCTTTGAAAATAGCTTTCATTGACATTGTCCTCACCGGAGGGTGCTGAGGGTCTCATCATAGTTAATATCAGCAGGGCTCAGGGCAGCCACCATGGCTGTACGAGAGTTTCCTCCTAAAAGACACGGAAGTGAAACAACGCATGAATTAATACAGAAAATGATTTTATTGTGGTAAAAGCTAAGGATTATTATTATCTGCATACCCAAGTTTTCCCTCAGTAGCCAAGTCAGAACTGAATCTCTGTAGGGGATGAAACTCTCCACCTTCTTCTTTTTCTTGTTCTGCAGAGAAAATAAACACAATCTCTTCTCTAAACATATCGGAAAAATATTTATTGTATTGTAGTATTGTATATATGCTATTGGCTGTTTCAAATGTGTGGTAGTTGGTATTACTGACCTTGTTTGGTGCAGAGTCCTGATAGTTGGAAGAGAAATGCCAACATTTGTTATTTATAACATAATATAAAAATTCTAACAGCATATCTTTGTGTCGTGTAAAAAACATACCACTTCAGCAAGAGCTGAGATAACTTTCCCCAGTGTCGTTAGAGATTTGTTGATGTTTGCTCCTTCCTGCAACGATAAAGAAATTAAATATTTCCTATTAAGAATTTATCCATCTATTCACAAGTACATTTTACATTTGAAATACTTCTTTCAAACAATCTTTATTAAATGTGTTTCTATCTCCTCCGTGTGCAGAAATACGATAAATATGACCTTAAAGGCTTCCTCTCACCTTCAGTCTGGTTCCTTTAGCTCCGGTTGAGTCGGCTCTCTCGCTGCCAGCCAGGTCCACCAGACTGATCTTGCTGACCTACAACGACACAAAATATTTTCAAAGTAAATGAACCACAGCTAACACAGCATTACATGTGGTTATCAATCAATACAACACATTCATCAGACACTCAGGTCATAAAAGGTAATAAATGCATCTCTTCTAAGGCCGCAGTGGTGAAACAAGGCTCAGAATAAGAAAACTATTCCTCTTATTGATTCATTTGTCTGAGAGGCAGAAAATCATCATTTCTCCAGTCGTGCAGGGTGATTTCTAAGGCAGGACTTTGAGCTGAGCCTGTTGTCAGAACCTTTTCAGATGTGTTTTCCGACTCCATGTCGTGTTTCTTCTGGGTGAATATGATGTTGAAGACGGCGTGGGAGCGGCTGCTGGTCTCGTTCATGTTGGTTGCAGCCACAGTCCTGAAAGAAAAGGAAAAAATGCTGCGTTAGGTGCATATTGCTGACTCATCTGTTCCATCCATCTTTTGTTCCTACAACTGATTAATTTATTCATGCATCAAAAACCTATCTCAGGAAGTCCATTACTATAACTCAGTCTCGCTCTGCTACCTGGCCTTGTTTCCAGAGTCCATCAGGTCCTGGATGTCGTTGTATGACGTGACCGCAAGCTTGGACAGATCTTCAACGTAGGGACCCATCAGAGGGTGCTCTCTGACACGAAGGTTTCCTTTGTTCTTGGGATTCAGTAGGTCACGAACGCGCTCACAGTAGATCTCCATATAACTCACCTGCAGGAGGCAAGTTATTAAATCATAAGTTGGTTATCATGGTTATCATTACTACTTTGTGGCTCTTTGGGCAATAAAAGATTGTAAATGAAGTGAATTAGTATTATGTATAATAGTATAAATATTTGTTATGTTTCCTTTAAATTATCTGAAAAACTACAATGTATGCCTGAGAGCATCAGGACTTAATTCATCAAGTAGACTTTTGATATTCATAGTTTTATATGTCCACGTTTGTACAGGACAGTGTGAATAGAGTAGAGTTGTTCCGATATCGATACCAATGTTGAAAACGCCTCCTATACTGCCTAAAATGCAGGATTGTGTATCGGTGATTACGCTAACTATGCACCAATCTGATACCATATTACTTATTAACCCTGAAACTGGACCCTGCAACTTCCCAGCAGCGCCGTGTTTGCCTTTTTCCAGGATAGCAAAGTCATGACGTGCCCTACTCTGGCTTTGATTTGCTTACCCTGATAATTCTCCCCCCAACACAACCTAACCAATCTAACCAACCCAAACCAACGAAGGCAACAAGTACTAGCCAATCAGAGGCCATGTAGGGCAGGTCATATGAGCTTTAAGAGCAGTGAAGAAGAGTAGAAGTAGCAGAACTAGCTAAATGTCAGCAGTGTGACTGTCAAACTAGGTAAAATATATATATATATATATATATATTTTTTTTTAATGCACTTGTTTCGTATTGTTAAACGGTATTGCCCGTTACACAAAGTTCAGGTATGGGAACATCTTTAAAGTAGAGTTAGACATCACTCACCTCCACAGAGTAAGACATGCTGTTCTCATTATTGCTGTCACTGATCTTGGTGAAAAGGTCTTCACACAGCTAAAAACACATAGAACAGATAGTCGTTGCGGTCAAAGTTGCACGTGAAGAAGACTTTTGCTTTGTCAGTAGGAATATTCACATTTAGATTTTGTTTTTAATTATAGGTCAGAAATGTATTCTGTATTACCAAAGGTATAATTCCTTGCTGGTCTTGCTCCTGTCGCCCCATCATGGTGTAGCTTTTTCCCGCTCCTGTCTGGCCGTATGCAAATATACACACGTTGTAGCCTTCAAAGGCATGAAGCAGCATCTCTTCCCCGATGTCCTTGTACACCTGCATCTGTGAAGCATAGTTGATGTCCTCGGGCTGCGAGACAGAGAGACAATGAAGAATTAGAGATGGAAAGTTAGCATTTTCACAGCATGAATATGATCTAATACATTCTAAAAAACATTTGGTGCTAAAAGCAAACACGTTTCTTTCTCTATCAAGTTAAATAACATTTAGATCAATTTTTTAATCAGTTATTAGTAACTTGTTTTAGAGCAAATTTCTGATCTCACTAGTTAGTGATGCAGTGAAACTCACCGTGGTGTGTGACCAGTAAGAATAGTCAAAGTTGAAACTCTTATTTTCTTTCGGCTGTTTGGGGTTCAGGATCGCTAAAAAAGAGGAAAATAGATCAGTTAGAGACATCAGAAACTAAGTCACTCTTAACCATAACCTGCATATTCTTCTTTCATTTCAGTCTATTTACCGTCAGTTTTACATACAAACTACAGGATGCAAACCCGGAAAACATTATGGTAAACGGACTGTACTTGTATAGCGCCTTGATAGTCTTCCAACCACTCAAAGTGCTTTTACACAACAGGCCACATTCACACACATTCATACTGTGATGGCAAAGGCTCATCACAAACAGAAACTAATCCATTCATTCACTTTCACACACTGATGCACAGAATCGGGAGCAATTTGAGGTTCAGTATCTTGCTCAAGGACACTTCAACACGCAGCGAGCCGGGGATCAAACCGCCAACATTCTGATTAGTGGGCGTCGGCAACCCGCTCTACCTCCACAGCTGCCCCTGATGACTCAGCATCTTTCAATGCAAAACATTCTTGCACCTTTATCATGTCATAACACACACACACACACACACATATAAATCTCATTACCAAACATTTTCCATCATGATCAATTCAGTCCAGTTGTGTCTTTGTTTGTGTTTGTCAGAAACAGAAGTGCAGTTTTGAGAACAGGTAACACATTTGTCAAATTTATGCTCCAAAAGGTGTTCTCAAAACTCTTCATACAGCTATTAAAATCACATACTGGTGCCTAAAAAGAAAATACTGTAACATTGTCTCCTCATTGGGAAAAAGACTGAGAACATTGTGAGCAGAAGACTCTCATTTGAAACCTGCATTCAGTGTCTACATTTGCGTTGTAATGTAAATGTTAAATGTTGCAAACCAAGTTTTCTATTTGATCATTGTGTGAAAAGAACCAGAAATCCTGAAGAGAAAAGTGACAGCTTTCGGATGGAGGGAAACTGTATTGCCCTTCTATGTACTTATTTCTAAAGAAATTAATTAAACTTATCCACTAAAAAATGTAAATAGATGGACCACCAAGCATATAATCTGGCTTTAATGGGATCGCACCGTCCCAGGTTCAATTTCAGGTTGTTTGTTTGTTGCATGTCGTTGCTTAGAAAAAATATAATATATAATCAGTAATGCAATACTTTTTTATTCAATGAAAACATGCCCTGCTCAGTTTAGTTGTACATTAGTAGCCCACCCTCTACATTCTGCATTCTTAACTGGTGGGGTAAAAAAACAAATCTGTGTTAAATGTTATCTGATGTCTTTTATTTAGACTGAAAAGCTTCTACAAATGTCTGTTAAGGGAAACATGTTTTATAGGTTATGCAGTGATGTTATTTTATTTATATAATTAAGAATAAGCAGTTGTGATGTTCATCCTCAGTTTATTATTAAAGATTGCAGGAATACAAATATGTGTATTGTATTTTAAAAAAAGGTCATGATGACATTGTATATGTGTTTCCTAGACTATTTAAAAAATACATTTGCTTAGTTTGAATTTTGTAAAAGTGGGTCATGACTAAATGACCGTGGGAAAATGTGGGTCTTAAGTTGAGATCATAAAGTGTCAAAAGCTCATCAACAGACAGACGTTGATGTTGACAGATGCAGCTGTCTTAAATACGCCGCTCATTCTTTTTAAAGAAGGGAGGGGCGTAGTGCACGTATTATATGAAACAAGAACTGAGCAGGAGCAGACGCTCTTCAAACTGACTACCACTGAATCGCCCCCTGTGGACAAGTTCAACACAGCAGCAGCAATGTCCTGCTGAAATACGCACCCAGCCAGAAACAACACAGTATCCATCCATCTATTAGCTACATCCACTTATCCTCGCGGGGATCAGCGTGACCATAATGCAGACAAATATAAGAAGACGACGGCTGGAAACTGTGAGCATTCAGAGTCAGTGAAGTTAATGAGTTGAAACAATAAAAGTTTTAGCTCTAATGAGGTCATTAAAAACACCGACAGGCACAACAGGCTAACACACACACACACACACACACACACACACACACAGTTGCATCAGCTGACCCACGTCTGGGCTCAACCCAGAACAAGGGAGGTCTTTTTGGGTCCCTGCAGCTCGTTGATGAGACGAGTAAAGCTGCGACGGTCGCTACATCCCTACACACACAACCACACAACACAACACACACACACACAAACCACACAAAAGAGACAGGCTTCGGGCCTGACTGAAGCTTTTGTTTCCTTCTCTAGCTTCCAAGATGCCTCCCTGCCCACTCTCTTGTTACTGGAGGGCAAAGCTGCCTGCAACGCAAATAACTGTAATTAAACGTGGCTAAATGTAGGTCACAGGGATAAGATCAAAACAGAAGCAATGTTGCTGCATTTCTGGGTTCACACTCTAAAGTCGTGAGTTAAAGATACATGACCTTAAAACTGCTAAATTAGACTGTGACATATGAACATGTTGTGATTCAGGTCAGCAGACTGGACAATTTCCTGACTAAGAGACTCTGAAGAATGTTTCGATACTCTGAAATTAGGGCCATTTTCCACAAGTTTCTGACATTTTAGAGAACAAATAATGAATCAGCAGCCTTACTGAAACTCAGATTTAAGGTGAGCACAAAGGGCACTGGGGGTTTAATGGTGGCTTTAACCGAAAGAGGAGAAATTTAAAAAAATATAATAATTGAATTTTCACTGAGGACATTCACTGTTTGAAGGACTAAAGTGCACTTATTTTGCTCCCATTACAGTTAAAACGATGTGTGTTGGTCATAATGTGCGGCACCACATCCACATTATTGCATCTCTTGTCAACATCTGACTCCACATCCATCACAGTTCTGCAGTCAGGTCAAATACTCTAAACTGGATCTATACTCACTTGTGGTGTTTCCTGACATCTGAATGATGCACTTGCTGTCCTTCCCCATCTCTCTGGAGTTAAAGGGTCGGACCCTCACCGCCACCTTGACCGAAGCCCCCGCCATGTTGCAGGTGGGTGTGTGGGTGAGCAGAAGAGCTGAAGATCTGTGTGGCTACACAGACACACACCTGGAACCTGCACAGATAGATGATGACAGAGATTTAATACCAAGGCAAGTGAATACAGACCAACCCATCAGCTGGAAAACAGCCTAAAAATATAGAATTAAAAGCAATACTTTGAATCATCCATGTCCTGTTGTTTGTATTATAATTAAATACTGGGGACAGAGCCTTGTTAGCCTCACCAAACAGCTAAGACTATGACACATCCTCCATTTTCAGGCCCTGAATCAGTCAGCGTCAGACACACACAGCACAGCAAAACATGCTGACTAAATGGCTGGATCATTATTTGGCAGCAAGATCACCAGCATCCCTGCTATTCCACAATAAAATGGCTGCTTATTCTTCGGGCATCATCCCCTGGACTCATCTATCAGGGCTGAAAGGCCTTGTTATGAAACTGTATCCCCCCTCACAGAAGAAAATAACACACATTCATGAGTGTCTGGAATTAGCTGTGCTGTTTTTCAGAACATCTTGACTGTAATTTCTCTTACTCTTGTTTTTCATTAAAACCTTTGAAAGGTGTTTTTTTTTTTTTATCTGTGTTGACGATCAGATAAATTCTAAGGGTTTATTTGCTTCAACACAGCGCGGCGCACATCCATCTTCCCAGCCTCCATCGGTGGAAAAATACAATTCCTCCTGAACAATCTTTGCAAGACACTATCTGAAGAGGATAAATCCGACGAGGTCACAAATTCTAATAACATTTCTGACGACATTCATGGTACAGAGGAGATATATGTCTGAGCTATGTAAATATTGTCTCCTCCATCTTGCTCTGCCTGCCGCACCTCAAAGACAGGCCGCGTAAACACAAACGGCACAGACTCCAAATCATCCACCACTGCGTCAGAAAGGAGGTCAGCACACATTAACAGAGCTGGAATTACATTCACAGCCTCCATGAGCCTAATTTGTTTATCCGTTTGATTCTGGGAGCCGATGGTGTGATTGTTTTTAAAAGCTGGATTCAAGTATTATTATGTTTTAAAGACAATTGTTGACAGCGGCGGAATATAACACCACACATCCTGACGCAGCGTCATTATTTAAAGCCTCACACGTCCAAAAGGCCTCGAAATCACCAACAACACACACCTACTGCCCTCGCCGAGGCGTGACACCCATCAGTAGCGATGCTGTGCCGTGAAAAACATCTCAGAGGAGCCGTATCTTACCTCAGCAACTCACACTCGACGGCCGCGGAGGGTGAATCCTCTGCCCATTCAAAACAGCGCCAGTATCCTCCAGTCCCTCCTTCTTCAATCTCCTCAGCAGCCTGTGATGATTTTTTTTTCTAAGTCTTTCTCTCTGTCTTTGGTCAGCCTACAGCATCCCTTTCCTTAGCGCATCCATACATGGAGAATCCGCCGGGAAGAGGGAGAGAGAGAGAGATTCAGCCTCAGCAGCAGCTCTGGGTGGGCTGGAGTGCTGAACGCAGCGGTGCGTCAATTAGAAACGCGAGTGGGGAGACTGGAGGAGGGAGGGAGGGAGGGAGGAGCGAGGCCCAGATGGATATACAGGAGGATGGGTGCGGGATGCTCCAGCGGCCTAGTCTGTTCGTCAGTCAGTCTGAAAAGAGGGGGAAAATGGCGGCGCTGCTGTGCCAGGGATGCTGGGAGGCAGCGATGACATCAGCATCAGCATCATCAGCAGCCATGAGGCAGAGCGATGCAGCACCGAGACATCAGTGGGGGAGGAGAGGGAGGGAGAGGCCCAGGGATGGACCGTAACAGGCTGTAGAGAGGAAAATATGGGTGAAGGTTTCACTGTGGAGCTCAAGCTTTTCTTATAAAGTGGTTACCATAAACATAAGAGAACATAATATTTATATAGCTTATGTATATCTTTGTTTAGATGTTCATAGTCCAAGTATTGGTAAATGGCTAACTGTTGGCATGTATTATATTAGGAAAACACGAGTTATTAAAATAAAAAATATGGGGTCCTTTAATTAATTATCTTGAACACACAGATGTGGAAACTTTACTGGGTCAACAGAGTGAATTTGATGCTTTATGGTGACTGATTAGATACAGTTGGACAGTTGGTTTTGTATTTTAATTATTTATATATATTTGTTTATTTTCTTATGTTTTATTCAGTTTTTTCAATTTTAAAGTCTTTTGTATATTTGTATGTTGACATACAATTCTTGCTTATGTTTCTTGGAAAACAAATAGGGGTGAAAATAAGAGAATAGAGGTTTAGAGAGACTCAAACGGACACGATAAGATGGAGAAAAAAGACTTTAAACCACCATGACACAGTCAGATCAGCTGCAATTTGATTTTTCTTAAGGCAATGTAGCAAACCCTTTCTTGAAGAGTCGCTAAACCTAGAGGGGTAACACTTGATTTGGATAGTCCATCTACAGATATTAAGTATATCATTTCAACAGTAAAAGATATCTCTTGTGTCCAGCAGAAAAACTTGAACAAATGAACACATTTTGCACGTTCATATATTCTGATTAAGCGCAGATGCCTTTTAAAGGGTTTTAATGAGGAAATGATACTGTTCTGTGGAAAAAACATATCAGACACACATTATCATTCCCAGCAGACTATTTGTATAAATGTCTAAACACGTCAGTGAGGCGAATCCTGCGTAATGTTGTGTCCATGGAATCATCACAATCTAGTTTTATCAGATCAGTTCAGGTTGTGCTCGCATGCTGCATTATCCTTAATACAATTATGTTTAGTTAAATTACCACAAACTAACACAAATTAAGTTTTAACCCGGCACTTAATGAGAACATGAAGGTAACAGATTACGCACTTGGTGGCAGCCAGGGGGCAACAGCAACAGCCCACCCCTCACCATGTTACCATCTGACTATAGTTGGCTTTAAAAATGAAACCTTTATGTTCAGCTCATAACTACCTGATACAGTTGAAAGCTAATGAACAAAAGGACTGAGTGGACCTTGAGATTGTTTAGTGAAGAGCTCTGAGGTGTTGAAATGTTTGTTCTCACTCAGACGATCAGGATTAAAGCTGTTTGGTTAACTGACTCTGATTTACTCTGCCACAATAGCACTGTGATAACATTATAAAATAAAGATGCACTTTCTGAGTTCAACTCAAGAATGTGGATGTTTACTTAGAAAGTGACTGCTGGTTCAAGTATCATCATCCACAGTGTCCATTTCTAAAGCATCAATAGTGACACCAAGTGGAAGGTTAACTAATTAAACGATTATTAAGAAGTATGAAGAATGTCAGATAATATGTCGACTATATTTGGTGTTTAATATATAAAAATAAAATCTATGAAAAGCTGGGTGTAGTCCATACTTAATTCAGCCACTTTTATCCTTATTTATGTTTCAGAATTTTATAAATAAATTGTTCAATTGTAGAAATTTATATATGAAATTCTGAAATTTAAATCTAGATTTTAATTTAAAATAAATAAATTAAAAGCTTAATTCTGTCATTTGAACTATAGATGAGATTGGCTGAATTGACCTTGTCTCACTTTGAGGCTGAATGTTTATGTCCTCACTACTGACAACTTTAGGACGCCCCCTGTGAATGAACTTATATACACGCCTCTCTTTCTTTCTCTCTCTGTCCATCCATTCCTTCACAGCTCCTCCTCCTCTTGCTCTGTTTGGGTAGATTTTCAGCGTCATGTCCAGTGCAAAGGCCAGTGACATTTATTTATCAGCGGTGTAATTATTTACCCAGTCCGACTCAGACTGGGGCACCCTCTGGCAGTCCTGTTGTGACAAAGCAGTTTAATATAGGTCAGATTCCACTCAATTACTGACAAAAGCAAATAATAAAAACAATTAGTTATGCATTTATGGTGCAAAACTTAACTTTTGCTTCCTGGTCAGCGTTTTATTTATTCATTTAAGGAGATTCATCAAATAGAGCAAACTCGGTCAGAAGGAATCTTATCTAAAATCTTATAACATAACACATAATGTGCAGTTAATGTAAATGTTTGATCGGAACAGTTTGTTATTTTGACCACTTTAAATCTTTCACATCCTTAAAAACCTGATTTCAATGATTTCTTTCATTTCACACTTCATAACTTTTCCTGCATTCACAAAAACAACTGACATGGATTAACTAAAACCGGTTGTGTGGTCTCAGTTTGATCCTGTTTGGATTATTAAAAGCCACAACAACTCTTGCACCATTAACAATATGGCCGCCCCACTGGCACTGGATAGTTCTGTAAACACTTGGCACAAAATTTAATCTGGAGTGAAATTATCTCAGTGGAGCAGTTTAAAATACCAACATGAGTTACCCAAAAAAAAAAAAAAGGACAGCGTATTAAATTCTTTCCATGATACGAAGCCACTACTGTAATCCTCTATCTCTAATTTTAATTGAGAAAAAATTGTTGTTTTTGTTCAGTTTAGCTTTCCACAGGTACAAAATCAAATTTGAGATCCATTCTGATGTCTAGTGTGAAGTGCCACCTGTGCCACCTCAACTTTATCAATCTTAATCAATAATTTCTATTCCATCTCCTTTTCCTATGTAGATAAAAACATTTGAGCCATGTGACATTTTGTATGGAAATAAGAAAACATTTCATTTTAAAAACATTTGAAACAAGAAAAAACACGTGTGTATTATCATGTCTGTGTGTGTGTGTGTCTGCTGTCCCCCTCCTCTGAGAGAGCAGATTGGCTCTCTGAGAGGAGACTCCTCTTTACAAAGCCAGTGTTGCTGGGTGACTGGGAGTGCAGACAAAACCAACAAACCACCTGCAAACTGACTTGAACCGGTTCTAAGCTGCCAAGTACAGGTCCTCACTTCTCCCCAAGGGTTCAAGAGTCAGTTGTTATGAGTCCAGACCAATAATGAGTCACAGAAACCAGTCCTGGTCGATCCAATAGAGAGGCCTTGCATTAGGGGGAAGAAATTAAATTCAAATACTGGCTTGGAAAAACTTGTCCTTGTCACATTTGAAGTGTGGGCACTGTATTATCTAAATAATACAATAATTCAACATGGTTTGTTTTGTATATTTCCACTTGATAGTCCAAATGGGAAATAGGCCTTGATAACCACCTGCTCAGAAGCTATTTGAGTATTTTCTAATTTAAAAGTTTCAAAACTTTTACACATTGAAATGTTTGTGCCAGTTGCAGAAATTAACAATCTCACACAAACGTGTTTCCATTTAATAACCTGGTTTGCCATTGTGTCTCTTATTGAAAGTCAATGGTTGGGTTGGGTGGGCGCACACACGGGGAGGTACACCGCCCCGTGGCCAACAGGTCAAAGACCTGTTTGTTTTAAATCTTCACCCAAAACTCGCAGTCAGATTCAGTCTCTCCGTCTCACTCGGTGCAGTTCTTCTCAGGAACCAGGCCACCAGCCGTGATGCAGCGGGCTTTGTTCAGCCGCAGCGCGCTCCTCGCCCAGCAGGCAGCAGCGGCCCTCGACAGTCCGCTGGCCACAAGGAGCGCGCCCCTGCTGCAGCGACTGGACCGCTCCATGTCCTCCGTTACCATCCCGCCGCCGGCATGCATGCTCCGGCCGCTGGAAGCTCCACTGCGTTACCTGTTCGGACCGGGACCCTCAAACGTTCCTCCTCGTATCTTAGCTGCAGGTGCCAAGCCGATTATTGGTCACCTGCATCCAGAAATGTATGAGGTAAACACTTCGATTCCAACTCAGACTGAGTTATATTATATATATATATATCGATTCTAATATTTAAGGGTGGAAATAAGCATTTTTACTCAAGTACTGAACTTTGGTAGTTTAGAGGAATTGATCCATTTCGTCTCTTGCGACTAGATATATATATATTTTATTTATAATAGACATAAAAAATAAATATTTATATGAGCTCAACTATTTGTAGTTTGTGCGTAATTGCGCACGGGCTACATTGTATCCACAAACTGAAATCACTAAAAGTAATTACTGAATAAACCTCAAATAATTATAAACAAACCAAAATAAATTCTTCACATTGTCATTGTGTTTCTCAGATCATGAATGACATCAAACGAGGGATCCAGTACGCCTTTCAGACGGAGAACAACATGACGATATCTATGAGCGGCTCCGGACACGCGGCCATGGAGTGTGCCGTGTTCAATACGGTGGAGCCCGGAGAGAGCGTGCTCGTCGCCATCAACGGAATCTGGGGAGAGCGCGTTGCAGAAATCGCAGAAAGAATGGGTACGTCTTTGCGCACGGTTTTTACGCACGCATCCATTGGGTCTCCAAAGCACATTTACAGTGACTGGGACATCTATCTATCTATCTATTACTGATCACACGTTTTTAATCTTTAGGTGCAAATGTACATAGAATGGTAAAGTCACCTGGAGGATATTTCAGCAATAAGGAAATTGAACAGGTAAGCACAATGTCTAAACTATTATGCTGAATACAGGACTGTTACAGTTACACTGTAAGAAACCAGAGCACATGAGTGACTAAACTCCTTTTTACGTCTTTCTGTAGGCCGTAGAAAAGCACAAGCCTGTCTTGTTTTTCCTCACACATGGAGAGTCCTCTGCTGGCCTCTGTCACCCAGTAGATGGCATTGGAGACATCTGCAGAAAGTGAGCCTCAAACACCAGAAATAATTAACAGTTTCATTTAATATGATGTAATATGTCTCACTGCTTCCTGTCATATCTCCAACAGACATAACTGCCTCTTCCTGGTTGACACAGTTGCATCTCTTGGTGCAGCACCAATCTTTATGGACAAGCAAAGTAAGACAATGATGAAGGATTAAATTCCACTGCCTGCTACCAGATGCTTGTGTGTGATATAATCTGCCTCTTATTGCTCACAGATATTGACATCCTGTACACGGGTTCTCAAAAGGCTCTGAATGCACCTCCTGGCACAGCACCCATCTCCTTTAATGATAGAGCATGGTAAGGAGGGACTCTGTCTGTGCATGTTTCCATATATGAGTCATAAATTGTTACAACTGCATTATAAATGAAACCAAAAAGTCAATAAAGACAATAAATAAATAAAGCATCTCTTTGTCTCTTCGTCTCACAGCCACAAGATGTTTAACAGGAAAACAAAACCAGTATCCTACCTCTTAGATATGACACATTTGTCCAACTACTGGGGCTGTGATGGCAACCCAGCCAGATTGTAAGTATTATTTATTATTAGTTACTCTCTTCATACCACCAACATACTTTAACTGCTGATTGTGAGTGATACAGACAATCTGATAAAATGAGACTCAAACATATTTTCAGGCATTTCATTGTTGTGGAACGCCTCATATCAATGTATAACATCAGTGTTTGGTATATGAATAACATCTGATCACATGTGCTCTGGGTTTTAGATACCACCACACTGGTCCAGTGTCTGGATTTTTCGCCCTGAGAGAGAGTCTGGCAATTCTTGCTGAGAAGGTAAAGGAACATTTCACCACTTTATAGTTACTTTACTGAAAGACATTCACAACCTATAGACTTATCTATCATATCTCATATCTCATATCATATTTGTTTACATTTATTCACATTTACAATCAGGGGCAGAGCAGGAAGCTCCAGCCCCGAATGTTTTCTCAAAAGCCTCAAATCATTCAGGCTTTTAAAGTAACTTCAACTTTGTATCATTTCCCATCAGTTCTTCTGACTGGACCGGAGCTTAACTTCTATTATTGAGGGGAAATATCAACATATATAGGTCCGCCTATTGTCACATGTGTTGTGTTTCATTCAGTTGTGTCACCTCAGTGAGCAAGCTAGCTGTCTAACTATCTTATGGATATTGGACATAACAAAGCTAAACATTAATTTTGTGAACTCTACTCCACCATAGTAAATGCTGTTATGTAACCTAAAAATAATGCCAGACAATTTTTGCCTCTTTTGTGAAAACTATTCATCATCATCATTTATTGAGTCCTGGTTTCCGAATGATGAAGACAGTTGAAGAACAGTTAGATACAAAACAGCAGAAGGTTCTAGAGGAGGATTATTTTGTTTTTCCCAAATTATGTACAGATTTTTAGGCACTTTATTATCTAAACTGGCATGTTAAATATTGCATATAGCTGCTGTAAACTGGGACCCCCAGAACCCTCCTAGATTTGAGACCAGAATGTTTATAACGTCTGACTGCCCATGTTTACAATATATTTGTCAAAATCATTTTTATGCACTCTCTTTATTTTACAGCAGAGAGTTACAGGGACAAACTGTAGGCTGTGCACTCACCACATTATTTTGGAAAGCCTAACAGGCTTTCATTTTGCCAATCACTTATATTGGCAGCATTATATCAACTTCAAACCACCTTCACATTTAAAGTGAGGAAGAAGCAGTGTTTTCATTGTGCTAGAAAATGGACAATGGCTCTATTAATCTGAATAGTGCAGTAGTTTTGTGTTGACAGTGTTGGCATTGCCCTCTTCTAACTGCTTGGCAGATTATCACATAACCCACTGATCTTTGTCTCCCTCTAGGGGCTGGAGGAGTCCTGGAAGAAACACAAGGAGGTGGCAGCCTACCTGTACAGAGGATTGGAGGACTTGGGCCTCAAGCTTTTCGTCCCTGAAAGGGTGAGGCAGACAGAAAGTCTTATGTGCAGAAGGATGACAAAGAGTTTACCTGCAAGAAACAAAACTAAAATATAGAATATAAATCTAAAATACACACAAATAATCAGTATCAGAGTCTGTAGGATTGTTTATGTTACACATTACGTTCCTCATTGGCATTGCACTGTTGTGACCACAGTCATTTCGTCACATGTCCTGCAGGACTTGAGGCTTCCCTCCGTCACCACCATTGCTATCCCTGATGGCTACGAGTGGAGGGAGCTGCTGGCCTACATCATGAAACACCACCAGATGGAGATGACTGGAGGCCTGGGCCCTTCCATCGGCATGGTGAGTTGTACAGTGGACACATTTATGCCTTTTGCCGTATGGTTGCTGACCTTTGTGGTGGCTATTCTAGACGTGACCTTCAGTCTCAGCATGTTAACAGCAGTGGGTGTTTTAAAATAAACAGGGAAATATTCCAGGATACAATATACAAACAAGTATGTTTACATGAGAAATAATTAAACGAGACACCCGACGAAACCACTTTCAACAGTTATATCAAGAGCAATCTCCTCAGTTTGGTGTATTTACAGCTCTCTGAATAATGCTGCTGAGTCACTGCAGGCTCTCATTCAATGTACTTTCCACCTCTCTTTTCATTAGGTGATGAGGATTGGATTGATGGGATACAACTGCGAGAAGACTAATGCTGACATGGCACTGAATGCCCTGGCAGACGCTCTCAAGAACTGCAAAAAGAGCAAGGCTTAGGGGACCAGATCCCCTGACCACTGACCATGTACTGTCCACTAGGGAATAAAAAGTAATGCAGGACACCTGGAACAGTACATGCATTTCAGGAATGTTTCTTTGCTCTTCACTGCAGTGATTTTAAAAAACAAAGGCCACACGTTTCTCTTGTGTAAGTAAGCCAGTTTTGAAATAAAGGAGCATATGTTGTCGTATGGCCCACGCTTCGTGTACTGAAAGATGTCAATAAAGTGTGATTTATTTTATCAAACACTTCTCCTTCCTCAGTGTGTGTGCTAACTCATATTTAAGGTTCATTTTACATACGTTTAGGGCTTTAACTGTGTAAACTACATTTCCCAAGATTCCTTTCTGTGGTACGTCACTAGATCCACGCAGCCGCAGTGTATAAATTTAGTGACATTTAAGCGTTTAACTTAGTTACCGGCGGAATATTATTAATGCTCACTTGGCTGCAGTTTGATTGATTAATGGCGTGTCCTGTAAATCACACAGGTAGGATGATGATTCAAATGTACATTTTTTAACAAGATATACTGAAACAATGTCAACTGCACTAACTTAGCTACTAAAATACGTATCTAAGAAGAAGCTTTTAGCTAAATAATTTACTGAAAATCTTTATAATACAAACGTAAAATGTCTGTAACACTGTCTTTAGACATTTTTAGATCCAACTTAAGCCTACGGTGGAGAAATATGGTGATTTTATCTTTGAAAACGAAAGCTAGTTAACTTTAGCTAACGTTACTTTGTGTGATAGTAAACACGTTGCAACCGGACACATTCAGCTCTTTGTAAGAATAAATCCTAATGTTTCTGATCGGCGGATCGATACTAAAAGGTGTCTTGTCTGCAAAGTTTCCTTTTTATATAAGAGTGCGATGTCAAACAGTCACCTTCCTCTGTGTTTTGACTCTTCTTCTTCTTCTTGTGCAGCATACTGAAGCATTACTGCCACCTACTGTTGAAAGATGGTGAATGTAGATTTACTGCCTCACTGCTGCTGCAAGAACTGGGGGTGTACCATTGACAGTATATAATAATAATACATTTTATTTAAAGGCGCCTCTCTGGGTACTCGAGGAACACCATACAATACATAAAAATAAAAAAATAAATGGGACGGGGGAACGGACAGATTACTTGGAGTTGGATGAACTGAGAAGATGTATATGGAATTTAAACCAGTCCATCCAGAGTAGTGGTGTGTGAAATCTAATATGGAAATTTAGACTAGCATGAGGGATACTGTACATTGATAGTGTGGGAGATTGAGCTTCCATGCCCTGTGCGACCATCTTATATCAGGCCTCTCAGTATTCGGAAGGAGGATGAGATATTAGAATGAATCCTTGTGATGTACTATTAGAGTCAGCTTGCCCATGAGAGAGCATCGTTTGAGAAGTATTTATCCTAAAGTTAGTGCAAATACAATGAACTGGCGTAACAATGCGATGGAGGGAGCGGCATAACTCGTAAGTACCTGATATCCTTCCCCTTGCACATGGTTTTACCAAAGAACCTAGTCCGAGGGGAGTTGTAGATTTGATGATACACATATTTTTTGGAGAAAGGGGAAGGGAGGTAGATTGGAGATGGGACGAAATTATTTACTATTAGGGTAAAAAAAGGTTTTATAATATTGGTGATGCAAAGTTTAAGAAGCGTAGAAAACAAGGCAGATGAGAAGCATGCCGGAAGAGAGGGGAGGGGAAGATTCAGAATGAGGAGGGATTACTGAAAGGGAGGCTTGAATTAAGATGAGTTAGATTTGAGTAGGGGCTGAAAAGAGAAATAGTAGATAAAAAGGTCAGGGGGAGGTGTGAGGGAGTAGAGGAGAATAAGGGATGCTTGGGAATAGGTGCAGTTATGATAATTTTATATTGAAAAAGGAAAGAGGGAGTTAGGAAGACGTTGATACAGGGTGAGAGGGAGGGGTACGAGAATATTGTTGAGAAGAAAAGTGACTTGATACCTACATTTGAAAAGATTATGCCGGGATAGTATTGGTTGGTTTGAGAATGAAGTAATATAATGTAAAATGGTGATTTT